TTTTTTTGTAACAGGGTTTCACTATGTAGCCTAGGCTGGCTTTGAACTCATGCTGATTCTCCTGCCTCTGCCTCCTGAGTGCTGAGATTACAGGCATGTACCACTATGCCTGACCACTAGTCTGCTTTCTGTCTCTACAGGTTTCTTCATTCTGGATTTTCATGAATGGAATCATACAGTATGGGGTCCTTGTGACTGGCTTCTTTCACTTAGCATAATATTTTCAGAGTTTGTCCACGTTGTAACGTACATTAGTACTTTGTTCTTTTTCATGGCTGAGTAATAATCCCTTGCATAGATAAGCCAATATTTGTTACCCTTTTGTTATTCACTTTTATTATCCATTTGTCTGTTGATGGACATTTTGGTGACAAATAACGCTGTTTCATCCCCCAAATATTATTAAATGTACTAATGTTATGGCATTTAGAAAAAATTTTAGTGATTCTGGCATTTGAACCCAGTGGTGCTCTACCATTGAGATGCAACCTAGACCTTTTTGTATTTTGAGACTGTTTTGCCTATAGTCCAAATTGTTCAGGCTGGTCTTGAACTCCAGATCCTACTGCCTCAAGCTTCCTAAGTAGCTCAAGTTACAAACAAGCATCACCATGCTCAGCTAAAAAATTGTATAATATAAAGAAAAATCTGACTGGCTACATTAAAAGGAGGACAATATTGTAGATTTCGTCTTTGCCTCATTGGCCAGTGAACTTGGTGCTCACTGAAACTCCAAGCCCCGCTGCCGTGAACACAGGATCAGGACTTGTAGGGAGCTGTGTGCCCTCCGGGGACAGCTTCGGTCTTTATGCGACTGCGTGGGACACAGGTGCGCGCCACACTTGCGACCCAGTCCTGTCCTCTGCCTGCTGTCTCTGTGGCCCACAGCGTGGATGGCCTGTGAGCGGTGGGGCCGGATGCCGTAAACCGATCTGCAGGGCCCCGGAAGTGGCTCTAAAACTGGGTGGGGGGCGAGGGCGGCAGTGCGCCAGAAGGTGTGAGCTTGGACATCGCTTAAGACTCCCACCTGGTGGGCGGCTGGAGACCCTTGTGTGCGCGAGGCCACGTGGGCTTCTGACACTCGCTCTGTTATGCGGTGTGCTCCGCGGCGGCTACACCCTGATTAAAGAAGGGAAGGAATGATGGCTGCGTGGCTTCCCTCTGATTGCTTTCCTCACTCCCATCCCAGCGACTTCTGTTTCCTTTCTGAGCATTTCTAAAGAGCCGCAGGCTCCTACCGCAGCTGGCGAAGGGCAGGGATTTAATCTAGCTCTCACCGCCTGGGACAGAGCAGCCGCATTCACTAGGAATTTCCTCCAGGGCCCAGACGCTATGTGATCTGATCACGGCCAGCCAGGGAGGCCTCGGGCTGGTCTGGGAACCCCACCTTCTGGGTGCAGCAGATGCTCTTGTCTGTCTCGGGACCTCTTCTCTCCCCGTACAGCATCACCAGCCGCATCACAAACCACCCATCAGCATTTACAGAGTGCATGTGATGGGAGCACCACAGACCCCCAGAGGGCTGCGCGTCTGGCAGCTGCAGGAAAGTGAAAGCAGGAAACTTAGTTCTTATCCCCACCCCATGGCACCATTAGCAGATGCTGGGGTGTGGAAAATCCCCACTGGAGATAGCACAACTCCCTGGCGAGTCCTGTGAAGTGTAAATGTAAGCGTTCAATGGCTGATCCCTTGTATAATGTAATGGGTCAAGAGGCGCATGGTGGAGTACCTGGGCAGTACTAGCTCTGCACACATGCGGAGAGCATTTGTGCTGTTTCCAGTTTAGCATCGTGAGCTGCTCCTTAACATTTCCGCACCAAAAGAAATGAACAAAAAATACCAGTGAGCCGTCCCCGTCGTCCAGTTTCCCCAGAGTTCAAATGCAGTGAACGGGGTTGTAGCCCACAACGTCCAGCGCTACAAACGGTGAGGAACGTGGGTGAGACGCCCGACATGCAGTGTTAGAACTACGTCCAGGGGCACCGAGGGACAGCGCAGAGCGCTGTAGCCCTGTGAGGGTGTCAGGCTGTCATCTGCGAGTCCCTCAGCCTCCATCCGTGGTCACAGGCTTGGGAGGAGAGGAGGGAGGGGCCCAGAGTGACTGTGGAGCGCCCACCCCTCCCTCAGTGTCTTGGCCGAAACCTCCCCTCTTGACCCGACTGGGCCCTGACTGGACCTCCTAAGGACTGCCAGGCTTCAGGAAATCCAAGGATGGGGAAATCGGTGATGGCGGGCAGCAGAGGGAGAATGGGGGCGGCTTCAGGGAAGACCCCTGCAGCTTCCCCACCAAATAAGTGTCGGGGGAGGAAGGGAGCCAGAAGAGGGAAAGACGGTTGGTCAGCTGTGTGCGCGTGTGTGTGCGTGCGTGTGTGCGTGTGCGCACGTGTGCTTGTGTGTGCGCACGCGCCCTGGGGACCTGAGTGCGTGTTTATCCCGACTAACGTATGAGAAAACCAGGCAAACGCTAAAGACTGGATATTTCAGGCTGTCACAGCATTGTTAATGTCCGCTGTTCTTGGGTACAGTGGAGGCTGATAGGGCGCCTATGCATTTTAAGGAAAGAGTTCTTTTTTTTCTTCTTCTTCTTCTTCTTCTTCTTTTTTTGGTACCGGGGAGTGAACTCCAGTCCTTGCGCTTGCAAGGCAGGCCACAGAACCGCTGAGCTAAATCCCGGCCCCAAGAGTTCTTATTTTTTAAGAATACATCCCAAAAGGTGTGATACGTAGGGGAAGAACAAAAAGGGAAAAGAAAAAAATGTGAGAGAATGAAAAGATGAAAATAAAGTGTTTGTAGATGGGGAAGGGAGGAGGGGGTGAAGGGAGGGCAGAGGTAAGGGGAAAAAAATGAGAATCAAGACTTGCCATGTAAAGGTACATGATCCCAACAATGAATGTAACTGTACTGTATCCCTAAATGTACCAATAAACTCAAAAAAAAAAAAAAAGAATACATCCCAAAAGGTGTGATACGTAGGGGAAGAACAAAAAGGGAAAAGAAAAAAATGTGAGAGAATGAAAAGATGAAAATAAAGTGTTTGTAGATGGGGAAGGGAGGAGGGGGTGAAGGGAGGGCAGAGGTAAGGGGAAAAAAATGAGAATCAAGACTTGCCATGTAAAGGTACATGATCCCAACAATGAATGTAACTGTACTGTATCCCTAAATGTACCAATAAACTCAAAAAAAAAAAAAAAAAGAATACATCCCAACCTACTAACAGATTTCTAAAAATACCTGAAAGAGAACGTGTGCCTCAGGGTCCTGTCAGAATCTGTACTCTCTAAGGACAGCGCCCTAGGCCCCCCGCGGGCACACACCCGAGGCTCTGGCTTCTGTGCGGCTCCCTGTGTGCCCAGGCGGCCCGGCAGGTGACAGGAACCTTCCCCTGCTCCACTCCTCTCTGGCCTTCCCCCCAGGACAGTCTCAGCTGCCCCCTCTCTGGCCACCCCCATTTTCTTAATGCTGACTTTACAGGGTTCGAGCTATGGTGTCATTTGCTGGAAGGGTGATGATGTGAGGCCCTCGTTCAAAAGCGGGAAAGAAGTGGCATCAAAGGTACTGACAGTGAAAACTTTTTTCCTTTCTCCTTTATTCTGCAGGCTCTCTCGACTTCTCATGGTTGGTTGGTTTTGGTTGCTTTCTTCATTTGTGTTTTGGTTGTTTGAGACAGGGTCTTGCTGTGCATTCCAGGCTGGGCTTAAATTCACTGGGTAGCTCAGGCTGGCCTTGAACTTGCAGAGACCTTCCTGCCTCGGCCTCCTGAAAGCTGGGATTACAGGTGTGTGCTACCACGCACAGCTTGTTTTGGGGGCACTTAACGTCACTTTCCCTTTGGCACGAGGAGGATTACGTGGCAGACACAGAATGTACAGGTGCCCAAGAGTCCCACTTTGCAGCTTCCCAGCTTCTGGGCTCCCCCACTTCTGTGCCCTCAGCCACAGGGACAGGTGGCCTCCAAAGGACTGTGATGGCTGCACAGGGCACAGTACAGCCTTGATCCCTGCGTCACACAGGGGACAGGGGACAGGGGACAGCTAGCCAGCTGCCAGAGGAACCTGCTAAGCCTGTCTGCAAGGGACTGTCAGTTACTTCACCCTTCACAGCCCACCCCGCCTCTTTTCATTGATTTATTTGTTGCCTTACTGCACTGGCTCTCAGCCCCAGCAGTCCTGGGTAGAAGTGACAAGAGGAGACATCCTTTCCTGGTCTCCAGGGGAAAGACTTCAACGTTTCACCCTTTGGTTTGATTTTTGTCAACGGCTCTGCATCCCCTTAAGTAGGTTCCTCCTACTCCAGTGTCTTCTGGCTTCTGTTATTCCTCTTGGAAAGTCGGTTGTCAGTCTAATTCTTGCCCCTTTGAATGATTTTTGTTTGTGCGTTTGCTTGCTTTTTTTCTTGGTAGGGATTGAGCCCAGCGCCTTCACACTGAGCTACATCATCAGGCCCTGTAGTTTCTTATTTTGAGACAGAGTCTGGCTAAATTAGTCAGGCTGGGCTCAAACTTGCAGTCTTCCTGCCTCAGCCTCCCAGAGAGCTGGGGTTCCAGGCATGTAGACTGTGTCTTTTCGTAACGTGAGCTGCTTCCTAGATTTCGGGATGGGGGTGGGGGTGGGTACAGCTTGCTGATTACAGTTAATCCCGTTGCATTGTTAAGTTTTGGCCTAGAGTAGGTATTCAGTGTCCTTGCTGTCACATGTGGAAGCTAATTGTAGTGATGTGTGTGCTAATTTGATCGTGGTAATCATTTCACAGTGTATACATCAATCATTATGTTATACATCTCAATATATATATATAGATTATATTGATTATATATATTATATATATATATAATTTTTAAAGAAAAGGTTTGCATTGCCCCTGGTTTTCTTTTTTCCCCTAGTATTAGGGGTGGGATTCAGAGGACTTTCCTCCTTCCCGCCTCCCATCCTCCCTTTCTTTTTTGACTGGGTCTTGCTAGGTTTTCCAGGATGGCCTCAAACTTGGGGTCCTCCTGCCTCAGCCTCCCAAGTGGCTCGGATTATAGATGTGGGTGACCACGCCTAGTTTGGTCTCGGTTTTCATCAGTTCTACTGATTTGCCTGGAAAGAATTCATCTTTGGGAAGCACTGGAAATTGAATGCAGGCCCTTGGCGAGCTCCAGACAAGCATTCCAGCAGTGAGCTGCACCCTCAGCTAAATTACCCTCTCGGAGTTGCAAGCACCTCGATTGGGGGTTTGGTGTCTTGTCATTTTGGGAAGTTTTTCAGTTTAGCATTTCTTTGAATATTGCCTTCCCCACCTCTGTGTCCCCTCCACCCTGATTATACCTGTGTTAAATCTTATGCTGGGTTGTTCTCCGGTGTTTCTCACCCTGAGAAGAGACTCAGCCTGGGGCATGGTCCCTCTAGGGGTTCAGTTGAAAGCCTGGGAGTTTCCAGGCTTCTCCTCTGCCTGGGGCTCAGTTCTGATTTCTGCACCTTCAGGGGCACCATGAAACTTCCGTTACTCTCCCAGGGCTGACTTTGACGCAAATGACCAGGCCCTAGGTCAGGCTGTTCTCTTCTGCTGGAAGGAAGAGGAACTGGCTCTCACAGCTCTCGGGGGAGGAAGTCCTGGTCTGGAGCTGTGGAGCTCCCTCTGCGGCCTCAGGGAGAGTCCTTCCTTGGTCTTCCCAAGCTGAGCTGCAGTGTGCCCTGAACTCTGCCTCCACCATTCCACGACCTTCCTGTCCGTGTGTCCCTGTGTCCCTTCCTCCTACAAGAACACCTGTCCTGGGCTTCGGAGAACTCTTGACATCCAGGATGTCTTCCTCTCAACTGTATTTACTCGCCCCCAGGGAGGATCGATCACTCTCCCCACTCTGAGGCTCTGGGAAGACTTGAGTCTTTCGCAGGCCCTGTTCAACTCACAAGACTCCTGAAAGCTCTGCTCTGATTGCCCCCGTTCTTATAGCAACCCTTTTTTTTGTTTTACAGCTCAGGATGGGAAATACCTCAAGCAAAATCCACTGATAATCCGAAGTTCCTCACCACATTTCTTCCCCATCCCTAGGATGTTTGCCCTTCAAAACTGGGTACTGTGCTGGCTGCCTTGCTAAATCTATTTCTTTTTTTTCTTCCCGGCCTAGCCAGGCAGAGTGACGATTGCTTTGCGTGCCTGACTATGGCCTGGGCTTCAAGTTGGCAAAGGCCCCGGTAGGAGAAGCACCGGGGTCCCCTTCACCCCAGGGCGTGTCCAGCACAGAGCCCGGGACAGCCTGACACACAGCTGTGGGTTTCCAGCCTTCGGAGTCGTCCTTAGCACACAGTTCGCTCTGGTTTTTCTTCCCAGATAGAACCGGAAGTCACAGGTGGCACTTCTGTTCTTCTAGGCTCAGCCTGCAGTCCGCGGGGGCCTGGCTCAGGTGCTCCGGCCTCCAGCCTCGGGAGCCCAGCGCTGACTCCCCGCCTGCCTCCTCCCGGTGCGCAGGAAGAGAGGGACCCAAATGGCTGCCTGGAGCAGGGAAACTTCTGAGGTGCGGAGAAAGAAGCGGCGCCACAGGACTCGGAAGGTGGTCGCCTCCTTCGGGTATAGGGGCCATAGCCACGTCTCAAGTCAGCCACACGGCACCGCGCTCCTGCGGAGACCGAGTGGGCGGGGCCGTGTCACCGCGCGTGTCCCAGTGAGCTTGCTTAGAAAGCGGTGGGGACGCTCACGGTGTGCCTTCCGCTGGCCTCGAAGTCTGTGACACGGGGCTCTTGCTGGTCTGCTTCGCACAGTGGGGAGGTCAGGCCAAGGGAAGTTAGCGGACCTCCGCGTTATCTCCGGGTGGGTGCTCTCCAGCCTCTCTGTTGTGTTGCCTTTCAGTAAAGCCACGTTTTTTTAGCCATCCGATGCAAACCGTGAGGAGGTGGACTCTTAATGAAATGAATGCTCCTGCTTGGAGCTTTTCACACCATTTCTAACTCAGAGAAGCATTGCAAGGACGGGACAAGGAACTCTCGGAGACCCTTCGCCTGCTGTGGATTCACGAGTTGTTTACATCTCTTCCCATAGGATTATTTACTTTCTCTGATTCACTTGAAAATAAATTGGAGTCATCGTGCCCTCTTTGCCCCGCATTCTGCAGTACACATTTCCTAGAAACGAAGATACTCTTTTGACCTCAGTGTAATCATTAAAAGTAGGAAACCTGCTGTTGAAACACGACAGTTGTCTAACCTGCCACTTCCGCTCAGAGTCCACCAGTTTTCTCAGCAGCACCGTCTGTAAGCGCCCTCCCGGTTCTGCTTCCCTGGAGCTGCGCTGCTGGTTACTTTTTGGCCTGGAGCAGCTCCTCCAGCTTCTAGCTCAAGCTCCCCAGGATTAGTTCCAGCCCAGGCCGGAGAACTGCGATCTCAGCGCCTCTATGAGACGGTGCGGGGTTCTCATCTGCACCATCCCAGTTGCTGCTGGGTTTGGTCCCTTGAGGAAGGCGGTGCCTGTGAGGGTCCCTTCCTGTAAACTCGCTCCTGTTCACTTTGCAATCGGTGTAAGTATTTTTGTGGAAACTTTGAGACTCATTAAACATCGTTCCTATCCAACCCTAGAGAAGCCCGTGGGTCTGTGATTCTCCCCCTCTCACTGTCTCTGTCTCCCTCCTTCCCTCTTTTCCTCCCTCCCTCCCTTCCCTCCCTTTGTATCACTGGGTTTACTTCCCATATGGTGGAGCCAGTCTTCGTGAACTTCCTCCGAAGGGAAGCCTGTGGGGACAAAAGTATAAGGTTCTCCATAATGGTGTCTTCATCCTCCCCTCTTCTGGGATTGCTACTTGGATTGATTTTTGCAATCCTAGGTGGGAAATCGTGTTTGCGGCTTTTGTTTTACTGTCTTCTAGTGTCCTGTGTTGCTTTTGAAAAGCTTCCGTCATTCCAACTTGCGAAAGGGTGAGACTTTTTTTTTCTCCTCTGAAAGATTTGAATGTTTGTTTTAAAAAGGTATTTGGTGGGAAGCCCGTCTCTCATTTTGGTACATTTTGGTACTGGGCACTTTCTGGCCTGTTTAACCTGGAAAAGCTTGCTTCTCGGTGGTTGCAGTTGTGGGGTCTTTTTCCTTTAATAATTTCTTCCCTAAATAAAATATGGTGTATATGCATAATAGAGTACTACTCAGCCATAAAGAAGACTATTTGAGTCATTTGTGGGAAAATGGATGCACCTGGAGACCATAGGTTGAACATTGTCTAGGTTCTTTTATACAATATGAGAAATTCAAAGTCTAAATAATTTAGAGAAAAAGAAAAGACAGGTGATGGAAGGGCTGGGGACTTAGCTCAGTGGCACTGCACCTGCCTCAAAAGAACAAGGTCCTGAGTTCAACCCCCATCCCCCCCCACAAAGAGATGCTAGGAAACCGGGAGGGAGACCTTTTGGAGATGAAAAGAGTATCTAGAGTTGGGGGAGACAGAGGGAAGGGAAATAAAAAGAGTAAGAGAAGATACATATATTGTCCCAGCTCCCCATTGATGAATGTATTCAACTTTGTATCACAGTTGTGTATTAATAAAAAAATTAAAAATTAGTTTTTCTTCTCCATATTATTAGTTTCCTCTGGGCCTCTTGTTCTTGGATATTGACTTCCATATTGACTTTTCTAGAATAATTTTTGAACCTGTTTTCCAACTAGACTGTCAGATTTCCACTTTAGCTAATGCGTTGTTACTTCGTAAGGGCTCCTGCTTGCTCTTTGATTTTGTTCCTTTTCCTATTATTCTATTCTTGTTTTATGTGTGCATTGTATTCTCTTAGAGAAGTTTTCCTCTGCTGCCAATGTTTCTTTTTCTCCTGTTTTTTTCTGCCTATCTTGTTAGAGACCACCTCATGTTAGAATACCATCTAGTATCTCTCATTTGAGTAAGGCACAGAGCAAAGGGTATAATAAAGGATGGATAGGAGGAGACCAGGGCATAGATCTCATACAAATGGGGAGGGGTCGGGGAGACTGAGGGCAAGGCAAGAGGGGGAAGCGAACAGGAAATAGAATAAAGATATTGCGTGTACAGGATCATAATAACTTCAATCAATGTAAACATTACATGTCATAGACACGAGATAAGATTAATGATATAAGCAAGAATGAAAATGGGAAAAAGGCATTTGGAGGAGGGAGGGAAGGGGAAAGGGATTAAAAAAGACAACCAGACCGTATGATGCATTTGTACCCTTTTCCCGCAGTGCCTGTACACTGTGTGTACTGCGAACCTGCACTAACAAAAAAGAACGCTAGAAAAGGTCTATATAATGTGATGGGAGAGGATGATGTCTGACAGAGGATACAACAAACAAAAAACCAGAACAGAGAACAAAACAAACACATGAAAAGGAGGGAGACCCTGGCCAAGTAGGGGAAGGAGGCGGGGTACGAGGTCTGTGGGGTCCCGAAGGACCTGAGGTACTGGCTGCTCTGGGGTGACGGGGAGGTCACTGGGGTTGACTGGGGGCTTCAGTTACTGGTATCTGTAAGTCTGTTGGGGACAATAGTTTCTCAGGGGACACAGCCTCCAGTTTCTTCCCCAGGGAAAAGGCACCCCACCGCCGGGGAGGCTGGCTGGGAAACAGCCATCGCTTCACCCTGCTCCTTGGACAGCGTCCTGCCCTCGCCCACACGGGGCCGGCTGTCTAGTCCTGGGCCTCTGGAGACGGAGGCTTTTGAGAGAAAATCGTATTGACAGAGAAAGTTTGCCTTCCCAAGCTCTGCCAAGACGTTCACAGGTCAGGAGGAACAGATCATCAAATAAAGTGCAGAGGAGTTTGAAGGAGAAATAAATCCACAGCACTGCCAAGGCGGAGGGCTTCTGAGCCTGCGCTTGGCAGAGAAACAGCAAATATATCACATGACTGTCGTATCCACAAGGTCAGGACAGATCTTCCAAGAGCCGCACTGTGAAAGCGGGGACTTAGTAATTATAGGAAAGATACGTAGTTTCCTTTATTTTGGTCTCTTCACTGTGTGGCTTATTTTCTTCAGGAATGGTGTGCTCTCCTTCCCTTTCATGATTTTATTTTATTTCATTTTATTTTCCCTTTCTTCCCCCCCCCCTTCTTTTCTTTCCTTTCTTTCTTTTGCTGAGGATTGAACCGAGGGCCTCGGCCATGCTAGGCAATCATCGTATGCAGGTTTTTTTCTCACTAGTATGTCCGTGGTTGCCATAAATGAAGACCCACTTTGCCTCTATAGTTCCACCTAGTGGTCGAGGCTCGGACCCGAAGGCACATATTTAACCATGAATGTTTTTTAAATGTTGATTTGATTCAGTATTTACTAATCTGATGCTTTGTTTTATTTGATCGATTTTATTTATGTTGCTGTACAAAGAGGTGTTAATCATTATTAATATTAGCAATAAACCACTCCTGTGTCTGGTGTGAGAAATAGGATTTGCCTTTTCTGTCAAAGCACAAAGCCAAAACAATTCTATTTTGGATTTAAATGACTTGGATGTATACTTACTCCTCCTACCCTCAGTTAATACCCTGAGCTCCAAAAAAATGACTGTGTACCTTTTCCCAAAACAGAGCCAGTTTCCAAGATAAAAACCAAGGACTTTGCACTCCAAACCACATACCTCTTCTCTAACTTCCTCCGCTACACCACAGCCCCTTGCAACAATCACATTAGGGCGCCTTGTTGAGGTTTCTTGATGCCTTAAGTGCTTTATGATCTGCACGGACAGTTTGAATCTGGGGCCCAATTCCCAAAGTGGTTAACAAAATGAGTCCTGTGATCCTAAGACACCGGTTAACTTTTGTTTGGAGAAGCAGTGAAGCTCCCACTCTTGCACATCTAAAGAATTTGTTATTTTCAGCTCATCTGCTGAGAACAAGAGCTGGTCACTAACCACTTTCCTCCGCCTAGTTTTGCCTACAGTGCCGATCCCCACAAGGGTGTCCTTTTACTCTGGGGGCTGACTGAGGTCGGCTGGGTGGTCTGGAGTTACCTTCCAGCTCAGCTGGGGCCGACATTCAAGATGGCTCACCGGGAGGAGGGGCGTGAGCCCCTGGGCAGGGCTGGCTGGAGGGAGCTGAGTTGACTCAGGGGAAGAACTTTGGGATCCAGAAGGCACGAGGGGTTCTAGACCTGAAAGCCAGGCCCTGGGGTGGGCAGGGCTGGGTGGAAGGTGGGGCAGCAGGGACGTGGGCAGCTGGCCTTTCCTTCTCCTTGCAGGGCACAGGCCCCTGCTCTTCTCACGGGCAGCTCAACACTCCCAGAAGCAGAAAAGCAGAATCTGCCAGGGACTCCAGATGCTTGGGCCTGGAACTGGCCTGGTGTCACTCCTGTGTTTAGAGCAGGCCAGTTCTGATTCAAGGGGAAGGTAATGTCATGTGTCTTAGTGTGGGAATGGCAAAGAACTTGGAATCATTTTTATTCCACCACAGTAAACAACAGAATTGGTTTGTTCCCAGAGGCCGCCATAACCAATGACTGCAAATCGAGTGGTTTAAAACAAGTTATTCTGTCATAATTCTAGAAGCCCGGAAGTCCAAAATCGAGTTGTTGGTGAGGCCCTGCTCCCTCTGTGGGTTCTAAAAGGGAGTCTGTCCTTGCCTCTCCAGCTTCTGGTGTTGCCAGGTGTTTCTTGGCTTGGCCGCCTGCTGTCTTCACGTGGCCACCTTCCTTCCACCACCACTTTCTCTTTTTTTTCTTTCCTCCCCTTCTTAAAACAAAAAAAAAAAAGTTCTTGTATTTAGGGCTTACCTTAAATCCAGGATGATCTCATCTGAAGATCCTTAACTTGGGGGTTGGAGATGTAGCTCAGTGGTAGACTGTGTGCTTGGCTTGCATGTGGCCTTGGGTTTCGTCTCCAGCCCTGAAAATAAAAAACAAAAACACACCCTTCATTTGACATCTGCAAAGATCCAGTGTCCAAGCAAGATCACATTTACGCGTACATTTACATCTTGGGGGGGGCAAAATTCAACCACCGCGGCAGGACTGTCTCTCTTTTTATTAAGCCTGATTGGAACATGCTGTGATCTCTGCATATGTGGCTTCATGTTTTAAATTAGTTTGGAAAGGCTTGGGATTTAGCTCAGTGGATCTGCTGCCTGCCTTGCAAGCACAAGGACCCGAGTTTGATCCCCGGTACCCCAAAAAAAAACACTTAAATTAGTTTGGAAATTTTTACACACACACACACACACACACACACACACACACACACACACTGGGGATTGAACTCAGGACCTTGCACTTGTGAAGCAGGCACAGGGCCACTGAGCTAAATCCCCAGCCCTTAGTCATTATTTTTTCAAACATTGCCTCTCTGTCCAGTTCTTCCTCTTGACTTCCCAGTTAGGTCTGTATCTCTATTTCTATCTCTTTCTGTCTCTATCCCTAGTCCCCTGTCCGTACATACAGTTCTTTCTGTCATCTGTCTGTCTGTCTATCTCAAAGAAGGAGCACAATTTTTCTCGAGAGTAAATATTTCAGGCCTTGAAGACCACACAGCCTATGTCATATCTATTCCACTCAACTCTGTAGTAGTGCAAAGGAAGTCATAGGCATCTGTAAACAGATGGGCATGGTTGTGTTCCAATAAAACTTTATTTATAAAACAGGTGGCTTCTGGATTTGGCACGTGAGCCATAGTTTGCCAACTCCTGTGCCAGAGCTTCTCATTCATATATTTTTAGACTTTCTCACAGTTTCATCTCTTGATTTCTCTGCTGCATTCTGGATAAGTTCTTCAGATTGATCTTCCAGTTTAATAATTTTTACATGGCAGTCTCATCTGTGATTTAACTTGCTCATTGAGTTTTTTTTTATTCAATAGTTAGAATAATCATTTCTAGAGCTTTTTTTTCTCCGATTCCACCAATTCATTCCTGATAGCTTCCTGCTATCTATTCCTCTGTATCTTTTCCTCTTTAAACTTCCGGTACTTAACTAGTCTGCTTGCTGTTGCAAGCTGATTGCAGAAACCTTTGCAGCCCTTGAAAGTCTGATGCTGTGGTCCTTGTTTGTTGGCTTTCTTTCTCAGTGACTTGCCTTC